GCGGTTCGGCTCCCGGGAAACTGAGGCCCACCGAGCAGCCGCGCCGCCCTGTGTCCCTGCCGCGCGCCCTGGGCGTCGCTGGCGGGAAACCCGGCGGCGCCGGGAGGAGGGGGTGCGACCGGCCTCGACGGCGCGACTCACCGCCGGAGAAGGACTGCGCCAGGACCTCGGCGGTGAAGGCTGTCTTGGGGCTGGCGTGGTGGCTCTTGTCCTCGAAGAGCTGCTCGCCCAGCACGTTGCGCCAGCGGCCGTAGAGGAAGCTGTGCAGGATGTCGGAGGTGATGACCTCGGCCAGCGCCAGCCCCGGCGCCTTCAGCCCGGTCTTGAGCACCAGGGCCTCAGCCGGGAGCACGGAGCCCATCATGGGCTGTCCGAGGCTCGCCGGCGCCGGGGACGGACGGCCGGGCCGACGCGGGGATGTGGCGGGCGAGAGGAGAGCGGAAGCCCGAGAGAAGAGGGTTGTGCCGGAGGAGAAGGAAGAGGAGCAGGGGGAGGACGAGGATGAGGAGGAGGAGGGGGAGGACACAGGAGGGAGCGGGAGGCGAGGCGGGCTGGAAGGAAAGTGAACGAGGGGGAGCGAGGCGGAGAGGGAGAGAGATGGGGAAATCAGCAGAGGTGGCAGAGGCGGCGCGGAGGGCTGGAGAGACGGGGGTGGAGGCGGAGGCGGGTGCGGGGGGTGCGGGGCGGGTGGGAGGCCGGTGGCTGCAGAGAAACGGCGGCGAGGGGCTCTCGGACGCGCGCTCGGCTCTCGCACACCGGCCCGGACGGTCTTCCCCTTGGCAAAATCTCAGCGCCTTTATAGGAGCCGCAGTGACCCTCCTAATTGGTTATTAATGACCCCCTGACGTCGGACAGACTTGTTGTACCCGGCCGGGCTCGAGGAGCCCTAGTCGCGAGAGCTCAAGGGGCGGGGGCGCGCGGGCCGCTCCGAATTGTCCCTCTTCGCTCCTCCCGCCTCTCCCTGGCCCTTCCTCTCCAACCCCCCCCCCTTCCTCCTCCTCTCCCCGTGGGAAGCGCCGGGCTGGGAGGGAGGCTCAGCCCGCGGCGAGGAGAGGAGGGGATGGAGCAGGGGAGGGGGCGCGGCGAGGCTCGCTCGGACTCCAGGGACCAGACTGGGTAGGAGGGGACACCTGGCCTCGGGCCCCGCCGGCCCGGCGCTCACCCACTGCCCCAGGCCGGATCTGCGCTCCTCATCCCCGCCCGGCCGGGCCCGGCGTTCACCTCCCCTCCGCTCCCTGGCCCTCCCGGCCCGGCCCGGGCTCTCCGGAGCTCCGAGCCCCAGAGCGCACACCGCGCTCCTCTCGTGCTGCAGACGGCGCTTGCTAGAGCCGTGCGCTTCGCTTCAAACGGGCCGCTCAACCACCCCGCTCGCTGCTCGCCGCCGAGTGTGAAACTCTTCCCTGGGCGGAAAGGGCTGCGGGGAGGGGCTGCGGCGAACGTTGGGGCTGGGCCCTGCCCGAGACGGCGTCGTGGGCGAACGGCTCCCGACTCTCGGGGGGCTAGGGACCGAAATCCGCACTGGCCGTGGGTTGCCTAGAATAGGTTTTTCTGATGGATACGGAGGATGGAAAGGGGTCCCCGGACAGTTCTGAGTGGGAGCAGCCGTGCTCCAAAGCGAACGATCTCCGAAACCGCAGGCGGCCCTAGGCCTGCGGTGCCCGCGCGGCTTGAGGTTCCGGCCTCCCAGCTCCTTCGTTCAGCTGCGACCTAGGGGAGACCCCTGCGTTCCGCACTCCTTCTTTCTTGCCTCCTAGTTCTCGTTCTTTCTCTTCGGGCCTCCCACTTCTCTCCCTTCCTCCCAACTGCCCCCTCCCCCGTTCCACCAGGATGCTTTCTGCGCAGAGGTTCCAAGGCACCCTGGGCGCCAGAACGGTGTCTCTCGGTCTCTTTCCCGTGACAAGGAGCTGCTGAGCCCGGAGCCTAGAATGGAAGGCCACAGCTTTCTGCGGCCTTTGCCGACTTCTTGGGTTAGCCTCAAGCCCCCGACTCCAGCCCTAGACACTGGAGGGGCATCATGGGGACACCTCCCTTCCCCCCTGCAATTTCAGATTCTGCTAGCGGAGCCCAGTTTTCTGGACCCTTGGGGCATGGGTTGGGCTCACAGACTCTCCGGGCTTTCTCCGCAGCACGGGGCCTTGGGCAGATGGTCAGGGGTCTGGCCTTTCCATAAGGAGTCACTGTCCTCACGCCCCTTGGCAAAAAGCTCCTTCCACTGGGTGGCGGGGTGGGGGGGCTTGGATTTTGCTAAGCCATCCTCACACCTGGCCACCATGAACCCCCAGCGTCCCGCACCCAGTGCCCGGCCAGCAGTCTCTGCCATCCCGGAGTCTGCCCCCCGGGATAGAGTAAGGAAGGCGGCAATCACCGGCCTTCAGACACAGAGCTCGGATGAGCTTGGAGGCTGATGCCCAGAGGAGGCTGCACCGGGCACAAGGCACGACCGTCGGGCCTGGCGCCAGCAGAGGGCAGCGCTGCAGAGGAGCCAGCGAAGCTCGAGGGTTAGGGTCCTGGAACTTCAAATCCCTTCCAGATACCACCGGTGAGTCACCACTGGCTCAGGCTTGAGCCCAGGGTTCCGTCGGAGGGGGCCCCCCAGAATCCGAGCCTGGGTGCCTCACCCACGCCTGGACCTTGGCTTCTACAAAGACTTGGTGGAGGGGAAAATGTGCCAAGACAGAGGAGACTCCCTCGGGGAGCACCGCCCAGAGCTTCGAGCTCAGTTCTCAAGCTTGGCAGCCAACCTCAGCGCCTCGGGGAGATCAAAGGAGGAGGAGGAGGAGGACTGCTGTGCGTCCTTGGGGCCGCCCTTCTCTCTGGGCCTCAGTGTCCCTGTTTGCGCAACGGTTTAGGTTGGACTTTGTGAACTGAAGTTTCTTCCCACCTTGTCCCATTCTGGGTCAGGTCACTTTCCTCTGAAAGCCGGGAGGATTTTGCCAATTCCCGGGCCACACCCCAGAGAAAAGCCCTCAGGTCTGTGCGTACCTCCAACCACGGGCACAGCATTTGGGACCCGGGCCCCAGCTCGGGGTCAGAATGTGATAGGACCGAGGGTTCCGGCCGCGGCTAGGGAGCCCTATTCCTTTCCCCCCGGACCCGAACACCCAGGCAGCGGTGCGGGGCGCCGGAGGGAAGCGGAACTCGGCACAGCCTTCTAGCTCCTGCGCCCGCCGGCCCGGCGCGTCTCCGCTGAGCGCTCAAATTTTGTGCTTCTGGCCTAGCCTCAGACCCACCTGGACCGCGCCCCAGGGAAAGGGGACCTATAGGGAGCGCCCCAGTCTCAGGGCCCATTGGAAATGGGGAGCAAGGCCTGTGCGCGGAGATTGCGAAGGAAGATATTGCACGTCCCGGAGTTTCCGCGCGGCTGAACCGTGTCGTTTTCCGCGGGGCCCAGGCGAGGAGTGTGTCCGCGCCGCAGCCCCCTACCCTGCCCCGGCCCGGCCCGAGCTCGCAGGCGCCGCCCTCGTCGCGCCTGCGAGCCGCCGTTCCGCGATCTCTTTAATATTCATGGGCGTTAATAGAGAGGCCCCCAGTATATCGGTCCATTGTGGGCGGCTCGTAGGGCTTGAATAGGCCCCGGCCCTCTTTCTTCGGCGCAGCTTCCCGAGGGGCCGGGCCAGGAGTGAATGGCCCCGCTTCCCGCCCCGCGCCCCCTCCCCCTTGCGGGGAGAACATCTTTATCCCCGCCGCCGCCGCTGCCGCCCCGGCCCCCATTCACGCGGCCCGGGCTCCGGGCGGAACGAATCAATCGGCCGCGGCTCTTCGGAGGTCATCCGCGTGGCCCGGGCTGCCCCTTCTCCCGAGCCCACGGGAGTGGAGAGAGGGAGTCGGCGGCAGGCCAACGGACCCACGGACTGAGGGACACTGCGGGGGAGGGGGCCAAGCGCCGGGGAGCCCCGGGAGGGGTGGCCGGCCCAGGCAGGTGAAGAGGGCCTCAGGGTCCCGCGGCCGCCCGACACTGGCTGATTTCTACCTGTTGCCCCGCACAGAGCGGAGCGCGGAGAGAACGGGGGCCACGGCGCAAGCTCCTCTCGAGGCACCGGCGCGCGCCCCTCCGGGCCCGGCGGCAGCAGCCCCGAGCCCCGGGACTTGGGGTAGGGGGCGGCCTGGGGCTCCCCAGGCCCCGCGGCCAGGCCCGCAGAGCACTTTCGTTCTTGCCTCTGCGCCGGGGCTCAGCTCGGGGGCGCCCCGGTCCAGACTGAGCGCTTCAGCCGGGCGTGCCGAGGGGAAGCCGGGCTCCCGGCTCCCGCGCCCTCACTCAGCTGCCCCGACTCGGGTGGAGGGGGGCGCGAGCCGGTCAGGCGGGGCCCAGCGCCCGGGTCCCCGCCCCTCCCGCCCCGCGGGCCCTCCGAGGCGCAGAAAGGAGCCCATTGTCCGCCGGGAAATACATTTTTGGGGGCCGAGTGAAAGCCCGTCTTTCTTTTGAACTTTAGAAGAAAGTCTTCTGCCCTCGCCCCTCGGAGGGAGAGATTTGTCTCCCCTCCCGGGGGCCCCCGCGCGCCTCCTCCTCTCGAAACATCTGCCGGGGGAAAATCCACCCTGGAGGGCAGATCGCGCTCGCTCTAAGCCCCGCGAACTCATTAAAAAGATATTAGCGGCGGGGGCAGGTCCCGCGCAGGTATCGATCGGCCGGAATGAGCCCGAGGAAGAAAAGGCGAAGAATGCGGTCGCGCCGCGCCCCGACGCCCTACCCGGCTCCCCCGGCCCCCCGAGCCCCCTCCCCGCGGCGGCAGTGGGGCCCCCGCGTGGTCCGCAGCGACCAGTGGCCTCCCGCGGCGGCTCGCCCCCTCCCCCCCGGGCTCCTCCTGCCTCCCCGCGCCCGGCCCCTCCCGCCGCTCCCCTCCTCCGCTTGCCGCCGCCGCCCCACGCTCCCCCGCCCGCGTCGCTCGCCTTCCCCCGCGCGCGCTCTCCTCTTTCGCCTGCGCTCCGGCCCCCTCGCCGGCGATCTCACACCCTCTCGGCTTCCTCCTCCCATTTCTCTCCCGTGCAGAGTCTCAGTCTTTCGAGTCCCAGTCCCGCGGTGGCCCAGGGAAATTGCTTCCTCTCGTGGGGCCCGCGTGTCCCCCGGCCCCGTTCCCGCGGGACGGTTCAGGGCTCCAGGGCGCCCCCGCCGGCACCTACTAAGGCCCGACGGGCTGCCGAGGTGGGGTGGCTGCGCGGGCCGCAGAGACGACAATTTCATTAGACGTGACTCGGGCTGGGCCTGCCCGGGGCTGCCACGCGGAGTGGCGGTCACAGCGCCTTGAAGAAGGACGGCGCCCCCCCCCCAATCTAATTAGCCTCCCCGGCCCCTGAGAGACAAAGGCGCGCCCCTGGGCCCAGGTGACTGGCACGCGAGTCTCGCTGGGCGCAGAGGGCGGGGACCGC